AGTCAAACTGACTGCCTCAATACTATAGTGCTTGCATTCAAGTAAACCTTATTTGAATATATTATTTCACTAATGATGGCTCCAAATCACAAGATAAGTGATGCTGGCAATGTGGATCTGCCAAAGAGAAGCCATAAAGTCCTCCCTTTATGAAAAAAAGTGAATGTTCTTGACTGTATGATAGATGTGTACATGTAGGGAAAACATAGTTGATGTGTAGTTTAGTACTATGTGTGGGTTGAGGCATCTACTGTGGACCTTGGGATGTGGGTACTCTGCTGAGTTCTGGAGGATCACAGTCAACAAGTCAGACCTCAGCCCTGCCCTGGCGAAGATGACAATCTGGAGAAGAGATATTTCTTAACGCAGTGTCTTTTGATCAGATGAGGAATTAAGTGACTTCAGAGGTGAGTCCTGTGACGATGGAATGCAGAGGGCTCTTCAAACAAAGGCCAAGGGAGACAGGTCCTGGCTCAGGCTGCTAGGAGGGCCCCATGTAAACTGAGGCATGAGAATATGTAACATCATGATATGACAGGGTACCCTTCTTGGAAATGCATGTCAAGGTTCTGAAGTAAAGTCAGCAGGATGGAGAAGTTTTTATCAAAAGGAGTTATTGGAAGGAAAGACCATGCAAATTCCTGAAGTCATCATACAGATATGTGTTTTGATCAGACTTTTGCAAATTCATGAGAGAGATTCAAGGAAAACTTTTCAAAAAGTGTGACAGTACCCAACTTGTATTTTTATAGGTGGTCAACATAGAAGCTCTAGGAGGTAGGCAAAATAAGTGTGATGACCCCACTGAACACATGTAGAAACCACACAAGAGTCAGTTCCTTGCCCAAAAAGATGTGTAGGAGAATGGTTGGTGTTATGCATGTGCCACATTCACAATCTATTCCTATATGTGAAGAAATGTGTTTTTTAGTTCCCGTCTTAAGTCTCTGTCCACTACTGTGCATATTCAAGCTCAGTGTCACACATCTCATTTTATTTTAATGTCAAGCTGGAAATCATAAGTTAGCTACAAAAATGGTCTGAGAAGAGCTATTTCTTACAAAAAAAAAAAAAGAGAAGTCTTTCTCTTTAACATGTGACTATTGATTGTCTAAGGAATTTTCTGGGTAAGTTATTTTTTGCATAATTGTATAATCACTTTGGCTCAAGAACTAAGTTGACATTTAAGTAGTACAACACTACACACTATAGAAAAACAGATTAAACAGATTATTACAACCACATCATACTCCCCCATATAAAATAACTTCTTTAATACACATTAAATAATAATTACAAGTAGGTTTTCTAGCACTGAAGTAGCACAAACATGTGATCTGAGAAAAAAACATGGTTTAGATACTTTATTCTGCTCTTGTCTGACAAGTAGGAAGACATCACTTAAAGGAAGAAAGTCTATCATAGTTCACAATAATAGAGAGGAATTGTCCTTTCTCTCTTCCTCTGGTTTTTCTGTTCTCTTACTTATATACTGGATGAGAGACCAGCTCTGAGCATTCTTTCCTCCTGACATGGTTCCAGTTCGAGAAACCAAAGTCACATTTGTCCTTCCCAGGAATGAAGAAGAACAAAGAAGTCAGCAGTAACATCTCCTTTTTGCAAAGTGGAATTACTAAAAAGGGGAAGAAAGCATCATAACCTTTGTAATGATTCTAAAATAGCCAACAATTTCTACCTTTAATATGAAACCAATTAAAAAAACCCTCCAGCTAAATTAACCGCCTAAAGGTACAACAGCAGACAGAAGCTGTAGGTGTTTGCAAACTGAAATTTTGAGTATACCAAGCTGAATTACTAAAAGAAGCATGCTAATTCTTATCTTAAGTACAGAGGAATGGAGAAAGATATACCATCAGTGTGACGGTATAAGGTACTTTCTTTAATGATTTATGTATTTATTTATTCATCTATTTATTTATTTATTTTAAAGTCAGAGTTACACAGAGAGAAGAAAGGCAGAGAAAGATAGAGAAAGAGGGGTGGGGAGAGGGATCTTCCATCCTCTGGTTCACTCCCACATTGGCCACAACGGCAGGAGCTGTGCCAATCCGAAGCCGGGAGCTGGGAGCCTCTTCTGGGTCTCCCACACAGGTTCAGGCGCCCAAGGACTTGGCTCATCTTCTACTGCATTCCCAGGCCATAGCAGAGAGCTGGATGGGAACTGGAGCAGCCAGGGCTCGAACTGGCACCCATATGGGATGCTGGCACCGCAGGAGGCAGCTTTCCCTGCTCCGCCACAGCTCTGGCCCTGCCAGCTAACTTCTTAGATCCTAAAGGTCAGGATATATTCTAGACTATGATTCACCCAAAATAAAAGCCAGGAGTCGAGAGAACTATCTAAATTCTACCATCGCAACTCAGTGAAGTCAAGCAGCATAAAGCATGCCATGGTACAAGTTGGCGGCCCTGATTTGTTTTGCTGAATGAACTGCCTGAATCATTGTCCACAGGACAGTCATGCCTGTGGTGTGTGGTTGGACAGGGAGGATGTGGCAGGTGACTCTGAGAATTTCACACAGATGTTCCAGAATTCAGGTTTCAAATGCAAGGAGCAACTTGGGTGAAAACTATCTTTTCCAAGACATGATAAGCCATCACATATTTGGAAATTGCCTTGGAAATATGAACTGCCACATGAGCAGAACACGTTTTCTCTTGTAGAGCAAAGCTGTCTTCTGTGATTGACACTGAAACACACTTTCAGTGGGTCTCATATTTCCAAGAAAGTGGTATTGACAAGACCAAGTTCTTGTTATGTTTGTTCTTCTAATCACTCTCTTTCTCTTGAATCAGAACAACAGTCTTAATGTGTGTGCCCAGAGGAAATTTTAAAAACTTTGCAAAGCTAGGGCAGTTTACTTTTAAGGTATAACAAGAAAAGTTGTTGAGACTATTTAGTATGGGGCTTTTAAAATATTTGATCATTTAGAGTGATTTAGAGATTTTTACAGTTAAAAGATTGAGGAACACGTTCCATTTAACTGTAGTTAATTTCACTGCATAGGAATTCTGGTTTATTTGGTAATGCACCCCAAGTTGAAGATATTATTCTATAATTTATTTGAAGAAATTTTACATGTGATATAAATACATAGATTTCTCTGATTACACTAAATATGATGAAATAATTGAATTCCGTGCCAGGAATATCATATGGTATTACACCTTCTCTATTAAAAATTAATGTTTCCAATTTAGAAGAAGAATTTGTTGTAAATTCTTTAAATTTGAAAGCTGATTTTATATCCAGATTCCCAGTGGGGTACCTGGTGCATTTCTCCAAAGTCTATCTACACTGGGGTATTGGTACAACTGTTTCTTTAATAAATCTGCTTAGAAACACAGAAGAGGCGTGCTGTTAGAAAGCTGGTGAAAGGTGATTGCTAGTCTGGAAATATAAAAGCCTAGTTTCATTTTGAAAAACAAGACTCTTCTCAGTTTGACTGAAAGGCATTAGGCAGGACAGACAGACCATCTCTTGTAACTGTCAGCAGACTGGCAATCTGACATCGAATCCTGGCAAACCTGCACTTAATTGCTAAAATATGACTTCCTAGCAGCTACAAGTATGTTCTGGCAATGTCAAGTTATCCCAAACCACATGACTTGACTTCTGCCTGAGAATTAAAATTGGAGATTTATCCCAGGCTGGAGCTGCTCCTTGTGCATTCTGCAAGAACTCTATAGACTGCAGAGAGGAAAACGGGATATCGTTAAAGCATGGCAGTGCCCCAGGGGTCAATGTCAGATACAATCTAATTTAACATCTTTATTAAGGATCTCGAAGAGGGAGTAAGCCACATATTAATGAAATGTGCAAATGATATTAAACTGGGAGCTTGTGTAACCACCAGTAAGGACAAAGAAATAATAGAAGCACACCAAAAGAGGTTAAAACTATGAGCAGAAAATTATTATATGAAAATCACCTTGTTGGGATTGATGGTCTTGGAGATGAGCACTGGGAGTCAGAAATCTCAAAGTTCGGGGGCTGCACACTACTGGGAACCAAGAGGAAGGAAAAGAGGGCAGCCTTTAACCGGCAGCTAATTTAGACACCAACATAAACATTTTACATTACCACATGCAAATTTATACAATCTTTAAAATCAGAAAAATCCCAGCTTTAAAACTTCAGGTACCAGCTAACTCAAAAGTAGCATATTAACTAACTACACCACAGACAGCTACTCAAAGTGACTAGGAGGTGAACAATGTTGACGTGCAGAATGCTTGAAGGAAGGAGTGAAACAACAGACAGAATCTAAGACAGAAGCATACTGAGACCCCATCAACAAATACGTCTATGCTCATTGGGCAAGGCCAAGAGGGCCCGACCGAGGATCTACTTTTACATGAGTTTGGACAGAAACAGAAAAGTTCCTATTTTTAACGGTGAAACAAGGTAGAAGCCCTGACCCTTTAGCTTCTTCTGTTTCCCCGTGTCTCCCATCCACCACCCCAAAACAGTGAGACAATTCTCAAAATGACTTTTCCAAAGCTGTTGCTAAAATTAGATGCTCTTAAGGTAGCTTCTGACAATAAGTCAGGCTTCAAGTGTGAGTCCTCTGGCAACCTGTGACTTCTTTTAGTTTTAGTGTTTTTTTTTTTTTTAAGATTGTATTTATTGAGCCGGCGCCGTGGCTCAATAGGCTAATCCTCCACCTTGCGGCGCCGGCACACCGGGTTCTAGTCCCGGTTGGGGCGCCGGATTCTGTCCCGGTTGCCCCTCTTCCAGGCCAGCTCTCTGCTATGGCCAGGGAGTGCAGTGGAGGATGGCCCAGGTGCTTGGGCCCTGCACCCCATGGGAGACCAGGAAAAGCACCTGGCTCCTGGCTCCTGCCATCGGATCAGCGCGGTGCGCCGGCTGCAGCGGCGGCCATTGGAGGGTGAACCAACGGCAAAGGAAGACCTTTCTCACCTGTCTCTCTCTCTCTCACTGTCCACTCTGCCTGTCAAAAATTTAAAAAAAAAAAAAAAAGATTGTATTTATTTATTTGAGAGATAGAGTTACAGATAGAAAGAGGGAGAGACAGAAAGAAAGGTCTTCCAACCGCTGGTTCACTTCCCAAATGGCTACAATGGCCAGAGCTGGGCCAATCCAAAGCCAGAAGCCAGGAGCAGCTTCTGGGTCCCCTATGTGGGTACAAGAGCCCAAGGATTTGGACCACCTTCCACTGCTTTCCCAGGCACATTAGCAGGGAGCTGCATCAGATGTGGAGCAGCCAGGACTAGAACCAGTGTCGACATGGGATGCAGGCTCTGCAGGCAGAGGCTTCAGCCCACTATACCCCAGCGCCGGGCCCAGCCTACAGCTTCCCCAAATCTTTTCTTCTTCCTTGTCCACCTCCACTTCTGCTCCCATGCCAAGACCCCGTCACCCTTTGAGAGGAAACAAGAAGATGCCTTTCCTAGGGTTCTTCCCTCTCCCCTCAAGCAGCTGCTTTTAAACTACACTTTGTGGTGCACACAAAGCACAGAATGGGAAAGGGGGACCTTATGTAACCACAGTGACCCTAGAATAGTTGACATCGTCCCTTTATCACTGGCACATCCCTTATTAAAAATAGCTTCCACCTCTATTCTCATTCCTGCTGTGATCCTCTACCTGCCTTCAGGGTCCGAGAGGGACAGTAAAGTGGGGAAACTCCCTGCTGCTCCGGTGATAGCAGCAAGGAACCCACTGGCAGATGGAAGACCTCTCTGTGTGTCTCCCCCCCCCCCACCTTTGTACAACTGACTTTAAATAAATAAATCCGAGAGAGATCGGATGATTCCTAAACAATAATGAATTGGAATGCATTTCTCCACTGGAAGTGTAAAATTCCCTTTGGTTGGTTACCTAGGTTCATTATAAAAGTACAGTTTCCCTATAATCTCCTCACGGTATCAAGCACAATGCACTTCATCCCACCCGCACTGAAATTATTTCCAAAATTCAAAAATGTTTTACAAATGTCATTTGGTGAGGCTGAGGTGGGACAAAAATACTTCTGCTTTTCTTAATGTGCTTGTGTAATTTGAAAGCATAATAAAAGTCCACCTATGGGGATTCTTAATATTTTCTATCATGATAAAATGGGATTTTTTTTCTCTTTAGAGAAAGTCAGATTTACCTGCCCACGTCTTTTTCCAGATGTGTCTGAAGTAAAACTTGCCAATGTCACAATGCAGGAGAAGACTTCAGTGCCCATCAGGTCGGCCCTTCCAGGTGGTGAGAATGCAGGAAAGAAAGATTCTTCAAGTATTTGTCACTCAGAGAAAGACACCACCCAGTAAAGAGTCTCAGACTGTAGACTACACTTAAGCAGTGCAATAACAGCCGTTAGTCTTCCAGGAATGCTACAAAGAATAAATCACTTGATTTTCAGACATTAGCATACATGTTTCTTGAATGGAAATATGTGATTTATTTCAAAGAAAAAAATATTGCCTCTCAAAGAGCAACAGTAAAGGCTGGTGGGCAAATGCTCTATTGTTCGCTGGTGTGACTCCCTTGTATGGACGTGAGGCAGGATAGCAGTCTCCTGTCCCTCTAAAATTAGGTATGATCATATGATTTTCTTTGATCAGTGAAATGTTTGTAGAAATGAAGTGTAGAACTTCTCAGATACTTTTAATTGTTAATACTTGAATTATTTCTTATTGTGATTTGGCAATCACTGAAATACATATTAACAGAAAAGTGAATTTCATGGATAGTATTCTGGAGCCACTTAGGTCTGCAATAAACATTGCATGAGCCAGAATTAAACCATCATTGTTAGTCACTGATACTTAGGGATGCTTCTTACTGATGCACAAGCTTGCCTATCTTCAATGATATACTCATATTTTTCAAAGATTTATTTATTTATTTGAAAGGCAGAGTTGCACAGAGAGAGAAGAAGAGGCAGAGAGAGGTCTTCTATTTGCTGGTTCACTCCCCAGATGGCTGCAACAGCTGGACATGTGCCAATGTGAAGCCAGGAGCCAGGAGCTTCCTCCAGGTCTCCCATGAGGGTGCAGGAGCCCAAAGACTTGGGCCATCTTCTACTGCTCTCCCAGGCCATAGCAGAGAGCTGGATCAGAAGTAGAGCAGCCAGGACTTCAACTGGTGCCCATAAGGGATGCTGGCACTGCAGGTGGCAGCCTCACCCACTGCGCCACAGTACTGGCGCCCGATGATATACTCATTATAGTTAAGCAAAGTAGATTGGATTCTTTATAAAGTAGTTGTTGCTTAAAAATATGAATTCTGAATGATTTAATTGCCATCTAACCAAGAACCATTTATTGGCTATCCATAGGTACAGAACAGTTTAACCAGTCATGTGTCAGGATTGAAACTTTGTAGAATGTTTTGAATTCACAACTTTTCCCAAGTCGCTATCATCCATGAATAATGAAAGGATTTGATGTCAAGTAGCTGTTACTCTGAGTGCCAAGTGCACCCACCTCTTTTATACCACCAGTAGTCTGAAACATATTTTGAGAGTCTCCAATGGAGGCAAAGTAGTTTTACTAGTTTCTCTGTCAGACACTTAAAAGAGGTTTTGACAAGGAAAAAAAAATACAAGTGATCAGGAAACTGTTCTTACAATTGACAGTAGTTATAATCATGGGTGAAAGTAAAAATAAATATGTCTAATCACAGAATAGTTTATCATGTGAAATACGAATGAACACTCTTGCTTTGAAGATCATTCTCTTGAATCTAATTTGGAGAGATCCTTAACAAATAGTGTAAGAAAGGCTTACTTTCTATTATAATAAGTAATTGATGCAGACGCAACCATTTTGCCTGATGGAATTCCAGGCAGAAGAGTGACAGTCTCTCACTGTGCCATCATTGAAAAGCTGCATTATAGATCAGTTGTCTTTTTTTTAAAAAAAAAAAAAAAGACATTTGCATGCCTCATGAAATGAAAGCATTGTTATGGCTGCTTTCTTGAAGCACCACGTGCAGAATTGCTAAACAAACTGGGAGCTCCAGTTCATGAAGCTCTGAGAAGCAAAGCGAACCAGAAGATGGTCTCGATTCTGAGTCAGGGCAAGATTTTCCAAACTCAGATCTTCTCCACATCCACACTTTCTAATACTCAACCAACAAAGTTAATTTTCTAAACAGAAAATCATCTCTTTACTCAAGACCCCCAGCAGATAGACCCAAACACTACAAATAGTGTGATTTTTTTCCTATACACAAAAAGTTGTTATAAAGTTTTTTATATAAATTACATGCAATTAACGATTTGTCACAATAACCAATAATAAAATGAAACAATTCTAATATACTGTACTAAAAGTAGTCTCTCTCAAAATATCCTCCTGTACTGCACTAATCCTCTTCTTATGATGATGTGAAATGATGCTTAAAGGAAGCACTATGGAGCTTCTCCTTGGCATAAACAAATTACCAGCATCCCTACCCTCGTACTTGGGAGCCATTATTAAGTAAAACAAGGATCACCTGGACACAAGTCCACCTGCACTATCGTAACAGTCAATCTGATACCCAAGATGGCTACAAAGTGACTCACAGGCAGGAAGTAGACATAGTGGAGAAATGCTGGACAAGCAATGTTTCACTACCTAGGTAGGACCAAACTGGATGATGCCAGATTTCACCACACTACCCAGAACAGCTTATTTCTGAAATTTTAATTTAGTAGTTTTAGATCATAGCTGACTGTAAATGAATTGCAAAACTGCAGGTACGACCGGACCACTGTAAAGCAAACCTCATTCCCTCTGCTTGCCTTCACATGAAGTTCAAATCTCTAACCCACTCTTTTGTCTAAAAATCTCTTTGTTCCTACCATGCCAAGTGACCATCTCTGCCCAGAAGCATCCTGCTGCTTTGTTCTCTTGTCTGAGACATGCTTTTCCCACTTCCTTTTCTCTACTGGTGAACTCATCCCCAGAGCTCGCACATGTGACATCTCTTGGGCAAAACCAAAGCTACTTGCTGCATTTTTCTCACTTTGGATGCATGTTTGTTTCTATCACTACATGGTTTAAGTGAGATAACCTCAGTCTCTTCGATGACAGACAACGCATTGACTTTGCTGTACAGCCTGTCCCCCGGTACCTAACAGCTCCAGTATCTGGCTTATATTCCTGAGGAGCACTTGGTCAATGTCAATCAATGATGAATAGATGATCTCTGAATTCTGCTGATGAATTCGTAACTTTGGTCATGTTAATTTACCTCTCTGTGCCCCAAATTCCAGATATAAGAATAGGGGATAATAATTGCTATCTACCTCTGAGAGATGCTGCAAGGATTAATGAAATAATTTTTATAAAACTTTCTGAGCTCCCTGGAAGAAAGGCACTATGTAAGAACAAAGTGTTGTTATGATTATTATGTAGCACCTTTCATCTGAGAATTTCCAGGCACTTCACCAAACATTAACTCATTAATCTTCCCAACACTCCTGCAAGAGAATTCTATTATTTTTATTTTAGGAAGAGGGAAAAGATAGCAAAAGGTTAAGTACCCAATGCATAGTTCCATCCCTTCTGAGTGCCAGATCCAAGAGAAAGTTTCAGGACTCTTGGGTCTAGACGGCCCTTTGAACCAGGAGACATTGTACCTTCCCTCTTCCTCCATACTGAGAAAGCCGTCCAGCAGGCGGGGCTGGCTGGCAAAGATCCAGCTGGACTGAGGGCCCAGGTTAAACCTTCTATCAAAGAAGGGGTGGGATGGGGCAGCAAGGTACTGACCGCAATCCTCCCCTTGACTGTAACAGTAAGAAGAAAACATGAACAACGCCTGCAATCAATGGCTCAAATATTTTCATCAGCCCTCTTTTAACTTGACACCTTTCTGGGATGTCTCTGTCTCCTAGCCAAAAAATGTCTCATCACCTTTGAATACAAAGGTAGCAGTTTGGCAACCAAAGAAATAATCCTAAAATACCGCATTCAAAGGAGATTTCTCCTCCTAATACTGTTTTTCCTGCTGAATCCCATGAATGTTAGCTGAGACAGGTGGTAGTAATCCTCCTTCTGAGAGGAAAAGGAAGAATGTTAGCTATTCTGCATATACTTGGCAGGGAGATTCAGATGTGTTACATCAGGAACATCTAGCAAAGTTCTATTTATAGCAAACTGGAGAGGCGACATGTGTGCGTTTCTCACAAATGTTAAATTCATACCTCCCCGAGGTTGTGGTCAAGATTATTGGCCCAGTCATACCGGCAAATTTGCAACACACAGCATGTGCATCTCCAAGGCCTATAGATAACAGGATTGAGTGTGGAGACCAGGTGAATTCAGCAACCTTCATTCCAATAATATTTGTTTCCTAGCAATTATTTTTAGAGGAAATGTTACATTTCATCCTGATTTTAAATCTGTAAGAGCAGAATTGGCTATGGTGACCAGCAACATAGTGTAGCCCCTCTGAAACATTGAATGGAACCTCCCTCAAGTTCCCTCACACTTGTGATTTTTTACTGGACTCCACTCACCAGCAAGGCCCCTCATCTGACATTAACTGCCCACAGACTGTGCAATTCTAAAGATCCTGTTCTCCTGACCATATGCTTTTCACCTCTCCAACTCCCATGCCTCTTTGGAAGGCACCTCTAGTGATGGAAAGAGAATGGGCTTTGGGACAAAACCCATCCAACAGTTAATCCTAGCACCTGCTCTTTCTCACTCAGTGGCATTGGGAAGGCTCCTGGACCACTCTGAGCCTTCTTTTGAGGCATATAATGAATTATAAGTCTACATTGAAAGTGTTTTAGAGACAATCACATACAAATCTGTTCCTAGGAAAGATCGGTGCCCTTGACGGACAAGCCCTCTGAACACTGAGAAGATTGGGTTTCATTTTACATAGCGACTTGCAAAAGACAAGACACCCTCACAGTGCCAAGATAGCCATTTCAGAGAATGCCCCAGGAACAGAGATTAGGTCTGGAAAAGGCTGACCATGGTAAACCAACAGATGAGACTAAGCAGGGCCAGGAGAAAGTAGTGCAGACCAAGTTCAAAGCCTAATTACCAAGAAGACCTGAGAGATAAGGAGCAGAAAATCATCACTAGGACAGGATTTTCATGGTCTTGTCCCTGGAGCAAACTGAGACACAGAGAGTTTAGGCATTAGGAGAGGAGGTTAAGAATAAGTCAGAATTTAAGCACGATCTGTCTCAAGGAGACTCCAGGTAATCTGACAGGAAAGCATGAAAAACACCTACCAGTGAATTTGCTCCTCCCCAGCATGGTTCTGGGTCCTCTTGGATTTGCATCTTGCTCCCCCTTGACTGTCTTGTCCTGTGTGGACAGGGATATCGAGCTAGGGCTGTTTCACCTATCCTGACCTAGAGGTGTCACTGGACACTAGACCCTGTGCCCCCATACGCCATAGATAGGTGCTGCTCAATCACCAAGGACAACCAAGTTCCCAGGGTACTATTGAGCACTTGCCAAGGTCCCTAGAAGCTTGCAAATCCCCTTCTACACCACATGACCAAGAACATCAAACCCAAGTAGATGGACATGGCAATGAATTACTGGAACCCCAATAATAAGCCACCCCACCAAGAAATGAGAGGATACAAGATACCAGCATGAGGAATCACTCCTGGTCCTGATAGGGAATATCCCTATTCCTGATAGGGAATAGAGCTTCAGAATCAGGAAGGACTAAATCCTACAGATGGGAGATGAGCCCTTCCACCAGGAACCAGGCAGATCATCCCCTCTCTCCCTGCCTCCAGCACCAAGACCCTGACTGACACTCTGCTTGTGTCTCCCCTGGTCTCAGAGCTTCAGCTGTTATCACCAGACATTAACAAATGTGTGTCTGTCATCTCTAGCTTTAATCTAGAGCATCAGCCCCACATTTAAGGAGGCTATCAGGAATTTACATCTAACTGCCCAATGGCTCTCTCAAATGTATTACTGTCCATCTTCTCTTTTAGTAGTATCGTGAAAGTTTTCCTCTGTGTGAGAATGAAGATGGGCACTTGGTCCTCCCACAGCCAGATCTAAGGCTAGCATCTAAGCGTGCACTAGCACTATTAAAAGGAAAGTCTTTAGCTCAACCAGAGCCACTTCTGCTGCACGTGCAATAAGGGTTGACACCTTCCCTCGAAGATCAGTTGGGTCAAGATGGCATGAATCTATTTCCACAAATGCATAAAATGTACCCCAGCCCCTCCCTGAATTCACACTGAGGAATCAGCAATGACCCAATAAGGCAAAAGTAGTCCAGTTAGCTTTAGGACATTAAGTTGGGTGTAAAGACTAAGTTTCTAGCTTCTGAGAAGAAATGGAAGGTTCTGAAATAGAAGGTTCTAAGTTAACTGAGTTCAGCTATAAAAAGGCGGAAAATATATCAATAGAAACCACAAGGTTTTTTTTTTTTTTTTTGAAGATTTGGTTATTTATTTGAAAGGCAGAGTTACAGGGAAGGAAGGAGAAAGAGAGAGAGAAAAAGAGAGAGAGAGAGAATCTTCCATACACTGGTTTATGCTGCAAATGATGTCAATGGCCAGGACTATTTCCAGGAGCCAGGAGCTTTATCTGCATCTCCCACTTGGGTGCAGGAGCCCAAGCACTTGGGCGATCTTCCAGTGCTTACTCAGGTGCATTAGGAGGAAACTGGATCAGAAGTGGAGCAGCTGGGACTGGAACCAGCACCTATATGGGATGCAGGCATTGCAGGAGGCGGCTTAACCCACTAAACCACAATGCCGGCCCCAGGACTAACACTTTTAAGTCCACTGTTTAAAGATCCCAACAAGGTCCAGGATGCATTAAATAATTAAATATTCATCAAACAAAATAAACGCATCTTTTGTTTCTGCTCTACATTTCCCTTCTCTGGGGTGCATTTTTACTTGAGAAATCTAACTATCTGGTCAGTTCTCCCCACCGCCACGATTTAAAATTCTAAGCAGCACTGACTTCCTGAGTGCAAGTGTGTCTCACCCAGTGAACCAGGGCTGTGAACCAGGCATCATTGTGAAATCATTTACTTAAAAGATGGGACAGTGGGTGCTGCGGCTCACTAGGCTAATCCTCCGCCTTGCGGTGCCAGCACACCGGGTTCTAGTCCCGGTCAGGGCGCTGGATTCTGTCCCGGTTGCCCCTCTTCCAGGCCAGCTCTCTGCTGTGGCCCAGGAGTGCAGTGGAGGATGACCCAAGTCCTTGGGCCCTGCACCCCATGGGAGACCAGGAGAAGTACCTGGCTCCTGCCATCGGATCAGCGCAGTGCGCAGGCCACAGCGGCCATTGGAGGGTGAACCAACAGCAAAAGAAGACCTTTTTCTCTGTCTCTCTCTCTCACTGTCCACTCTGCCCGTCAAAAAAAAAAAAAAAAAAATGGGACAGTGGAGTACCTTGTCTCCCAACACAGAAATGAGAAAAACCTTGGGTGAATCAAGTTAAATTTATGCGGGATGAATTTGCCAACAGAGAGTGGTAGCAATAATCATTTCCATTTATCCAACCTTTATGATGTGCCAGGCATACCCTTCACATACCCCAATCTTCACACAACAAGCACGAAGATCAAATAATCCCCCTGTGTGGTGGAGAGGTTAATCACACTGAGGGTAAGTGGCAGAGCTGAACTTGGCAAGTGCTCATGTTCAGATCTCTGAATATGGGTCACTCAGCTCCCCAAGGGAGGCTCTCCCCAACACACAACTCGGATATTTGCAATCTTCTAAGCCTCCTTCGTTGTGCCTCCGTGGGGTCTTTGCTAAGGTTCCACAAGTGCTCAGAAATTTCATTTCCAACTCACGATCAGCAGAAAACTCACTTTCCATTACAGTTTGCAAACACTCAGAGTAGAAATTAAAAATCTGAACTTCCAGAAAGGGTAATGGAAGAAGGAGCCTGCCTTGCCCAGTTTCAAATCAGTTTCTTCAACACCAAATTTACTCAACTAGAATGAACATGTCAAAATAGAGAAGTCTCTGTAGCCCAGATTTAGAGACTGGAAATGTCACTGAAAATTAAGGTGTTTCTGAATGAAATGACTCCTCTGGTAAGTTATGTCTGAACATGACCACTGGAATTTCAGAATTGACTATGGGGAGATAAAAAATGTAAATGAGCCTGCCTGGGGCCTCCCAGACCATGGGCTTACTAGAGAGTGTGATAGGGAGTTGAACTGGCGATGTTTCATCCCAAATAAATTAACCTCGTATCACAAGCCAAGTTTCTACTAAGGCCAAAAAGTGCCCCCAGAAGTTTCTGTAACTTGGTCATTTCCAAAGTGTATGATTTTTACTATAGAAAGAAAAGTGTCTATGCCATTTCCCCCTAACCAAATATGACTGTATTAGTCAGCATGTTTTTCACTCTCGCTCATTTTAGGTTGACAACTCTCTTTTCAGAAACTAAAAGACAATTACTTAAGTATCTAAACCCTACAGTCCTATGCACACTCACCAACTTTTATTGGCCTTTCAAATTCTCACCTCCACTTGGGGACAATTTTACTTGTGCCCTAGAATGCTCAGTCTATCTCACACCTCTTGTGCCAGAAGACTGAGCAAAGCTACACATACACAGCCAGGTTTCCTCCCAGGATGGCTGGGAGGTGTCTGGAAGGGAAAGCCTGCTCCAGCTCCCTTGGCTCTCGAAGTTCAGAGTTCAAGCTTTCATATGTAGAAAGCTAAATAGCCAGAGTCTCCCACCAATGCTGGGGTTACTATATAGAAGGTGAATTATGCTGCAAGGCAGGAGAGCTCCACACCCAAGGCCAAATGAGGCCAGGGAGAGGCCAGAAGGAGCAGGAAGTAGGGAAAGGCAGTGGCTCCTTATCTACACTAAATGTCGAAAAGTCCAGATTGCGAAGTCAGCAGAACTTGAGGGCTCTCACACATACTATGGTTCTGTACCAGGCAGAGCCTGGAGGGTGTCAGAGCTTTTCTTCCCTTGGATCTCATAGCAGCATGTGCACTCACTTATAACTGATTTGTCTGTCTTTATTCTGTGTTAAAATATATTAAGGGCAGGGAAGGGGTCAGCCCCCTTTACTAGCATGTCTCCAACACACAGCCTAGTGCCCACCAAATGGTAGGCACACAGAATACTTCTGGAATATCAGAAGTCAAATAGCCAGTGACCTCGTTTTGTCTCCTGCACGGTATTCATTCCACACACGTGTTCAGTTGCCTTTCGTATGCCTGGTCCAGTGTCGATGGATGAGGTGAAACAACACAAGGAATTCTAGTAAGGCAGGCCAGACTCCACCTCCCAGCCTTCCCTGCACACCTTGTAGTGCAGGATATACATGATCAGCTTTGGCTTTGAGATATGGAGAAGCAGAGAGAGGAGGGAACCATCAGATCTTAGGCAGGAGAGAAAGGAAGACACAAGGGGTGGGCCCTCAGGTGAGCAGTATGGTCCCAGGTCAGCCATTCGCTTTTCTTGCTCTGGCTTTCTACCTGGAGCTGACAGTGCCTAACAGGGGTGGTGGGTCCTTGGGCGGAGCTCCACAGGTGTTTACATTTCTTGATTGTGACGCCACAGAGCTGGGTCCTCAGGGAGTTCTTACCCGACAGCTTATTCCTGCTCATTACCAGGCCAGGTCAGTGGCAAGGAGGCAGCTGCTCATCTCAGGTAACCTTTTGTCCTCCATGGCACCAAAAGTGAAGACCCTATTCAGTGAGGACCACACAAAACCTGGGACTGCAAGGCCTTGGTTCAGTCCCTCTGCATAATTTGCTAGTCAGTGCTCTTAGAAAACCCCTTCTCTGGGCCTCATTTCTACATCCATCCAATGGGGAGAGAGATTGTTACCCTTCCTTGCCTCAGAAGAACTTGGAGACAAATGAAATGTGATTTGCTCATGAGGATATGTGAAGAAAATAGTTTGCTTTCCAATTTTCTGCACAACATGGAGATGGTGTTGAAAGTGGTAGGGGTAGCGGCAAGTAGCCATGATATATAAATTTGATATGATATAGTTGAATTTTCTGTGCATTCATTCAGTAAGTTATTAAGTATGTTTTGTGTACCTGTCCCATAAGGCCTCAAGAGAACCCCCACCCCGTTCTTTGATGATAATTTATCACCGTAAATAATTTTGTCTCTGAGTGAGCATTTCAAGGCATTGGCTGGACATCAATCTGTCACTTTTCAGGATGCAGTAGATCAGGAATTTGTGACTTCACTGTGAAAATAAGCAACCATCCTTTCTTTCTTCTGCTCTATCAGCTAAATCTTAAAACTACAGGGGCTGGCACTGTGGCTCAGCAGTTTAAGCCGCCATCTGCAGTGCTGGCATCCCATAAGGGCAACTGTTTGAGCCTGGTTGCTCCACTTCTTAACCAGCTCCCTGTTAACGCACCTAGGAAACCAGCAGAGGATGGCCCAAGTCCTCGGGCCTCTGCACACACATAGGAGAGCTGAAAGAAGCTGCTGGTTCCTGGCTTCAGGCTGGCCTAGCCCCATCCATTGCAGCCATTCGGTGAGTGAATCAGCAGATGGAAGATCTCTCTGTCTCTCCCTTTCTCTCTCTAATTCTCATTGCAAAATAAGAAAATAAATAGATCTTAAAAAACTGCAAGGACACTAGACATGGATGTGAAGGACCCCGAGCATATAAGAGAGATTATAGAACTGAGTCTTGAAAGCAGCGTTTTCAGAATGCGGTTCTTGGACCGTACCATCAGCAGCACCTGAGCACTGTCAGACATGCGCGTTCTCAGGCTCCTCCCACCTTGGGGAGCCCAGCCGCTCCCAGGGAGTTCGGCTGCAAAGCTCTCTGATGCTGCTAAGGCACTGAGCTCATGGAAGCCGCAGCAAACAGAGCACCCGCGGCTGGTGTGCAGCCACCTAACCCAAGAGAGATAAAGGCAACAAGATTTACTTTCTCATCCTATCACACAGAAAGTTTGTACACTTACTTGGACACATTTCACACACTACCTTAAGTTAAATGCCTTTCATCAGTAACGGACTATTATGGCCACTTACTATATTTTATTTTATTTATTTTTTTAACAGGCAGAGTAGACAGTGAGAGAGAGAAGCAGAGAGAAAGGTCTTCCTTTTTCTGTTCGTTTACCCCCCAATGGCCGCTGCGGCCAGCGCACCGTGCGGATCTGAAGCCAGGAGCCAGGTTGCTTCTCCTGGTCTCCCATTCGGGTGCAGGGCCCAAGGACCTGGGCCATCCTCCACTGCACTCCCGGGCCACAGCAGAGAGCTGGACTGGAAGAGGAGCAACCGGGACAGAATCCGGCGCCCGACTGGGACTAGAACCCAAGATGCCAGCGCCACAGGCGGAGGATTAGCCTATTGAGCCATGGCGCCGGCCACTTATTATATTTTTCATCTCTTAAAATTAATATGGACTGAAAACTCTGACAGTACCTAAACGTATGGGGCAAAGTAACTGAAAAGGAGAATTTTTGTGTTTCTTTTTAATACCAAAGTCAGAAATGGTCAAAAGTATTTTGATCTAAAATGCCATATTAATATTATTACGGAGGAAACAGTGTGGTTGATGCACTTTACATAGCAGAGAATGATAAAGACCATTTTCAAGGAAATGCCTTCTATTTGTGTTGGTTTAGGTGACCATGAAGTCACGCCCAGGAGGATTGCCCGTGCTGGCCCCAGGCTCCAGGGCTCAGAAATCGGAATCTGGTGAGTAACTACTGCTCAGCGTTAGCATCCCAAAATTGTTTTATTTATTTATTAAATACTTCTAGAAGGATAGTGTCATCATTTGTTATATGTCATGATCTCTTAGCATGGCTCCTTACCCCCTATGCTCCTATTCAGGAACACAACACCAAAGAGACACACAGGAAAAATCAACTGTGCTAATAACTCTAATTCAACAGGTGCTAATGTGAAAATAATGAGGGCCACAAATTAAACAGCTGGTGCTGCGCCTGCTTGCCCCCTCACCATAATGTGAATTTAAATGAATCTGTGCTATGTATAGATTCACATCTAATCAGAAATGGCCTACAGAAAGCTGGCCTTTTGCATACGTACAAACATTCATGCACAATCTTTGACTACAATGACTGATTGCTTGTCTTTCCCAAGTCTTGGTCACTGTCTCTTATCAAAGCATCTATTTTGAATAGAATGGCAGCAATGGAGGAAGGGTAGAAAGTCAGCATATTTTGATGCTAATTTAGCTGAATGAGCAATGACCACTCATTCTGAAATGCAGGTCCACCAGTTTTCTCATGCCAAGGAAAGATTCCAGAAAGATCCTGACATTCAGTTTATTTTCAGTGCCATCATCTAATTTTATCATTCATCATGATTGTATTATATTATATTATATTATATTATATTATATTATATTATACTGTTTCTGATCTCTTCAAGCATTCTATCTAATGATTCAATCACTGGGAAAGTAGAAAGGCCAATTAGTTTACCCCTTTACTGGACTTAAATGAGAAGTTAACATAAAACTATAGGCTTAACTGAGAAAATTAATACAAGGCATGCTTTCTCACAAGGCATCTGAGAAATGAAAGCTGATGTTGACCTGGGTCTTTTGTCATCTGCATTTTCTGTCTCACATGAGGCAGTAGGAGATTGTGAGTTATCCTAAGAATTTGATGTCTCTTCTGATTTAAGAAGGGAAAAAAATAACATCGGGCACAAGGTTGACCAGTTGCTCCTTCAAATTGACTGAAATAATCAGGTGGCTGGGAGTCGTGTTGTCTGAATTGTCTGGGTAACACAGGCACCATGTTCAAACCAGTAGACTTAGAAGACCAACTGCACAAAACTCACTCAAAACAATCTAAACATCCGATATCATGTCCAAAAGAAATGAACGTGCCTTAGTACAACCATTGAGGAGAATTTGAAGTTGTGAAAATGTGTCAATCATCTGAATGCTGAAAAGGAGCACTATTCACTGTTTTGTGTAGCAGCGCTTCGATTTGACAAAATCACACTTGTCTGTTTTTGCTTCTGTATTCTGTGCCCAGAAACACAATTATCACACAGTCCCACTCATGTGCAGTATCCAAGAAAGCTAGTTTAATATATCTGAGGATAGAATGGTGGTTAGCAGAGGCTGGGGACAACAGGGGGAAGGAGGGATGAGGAAGGGTTACTTAATGGGTACTGAGTTGCAGTCAGATAGGAGTAAGAGCTTCTAGTGTTCTGTTGCACAGTAGAGTGACTATAGATAATGATAGCGTTCTGTTTATTTTTCTAAACAAGTACTAAAAGCAAGGATTCCAAATATTTTTATCATAAAGCAATGTTAAAATCCTTGAGTAAATGTATATAATAACCCTGACTGGACATTATGCAGTGGATACATGTACTGAAACATAACATGGTAATCTACAAATGTATTCAATTTTTGTACTAGTTAAAAATAAATTGTTATTTAAAAATGATTATTTAATTAAAATGTAGTCAACCATAAATCAATGGTGAACATAGTCTAATTATTGTATTGTACATGGCATGGAAAGGTATTTGGGCTATCCTCTAATTTAAGTGAAAAATAGATCACACTATCATATTTCAGGATGACCCAATTTTTCTTTACAATATATGTGTGGTATGTTTATATATGTTGCTTAAAATGTTCAAAGAAATTCCTTAGTTCACATTTTCCTTTAATACACTTATTTTTCATCATTTGCAGATTACTGTATAATAAGAATAAAGTAATATATATTAGTTTTATACTTGAATGAGGTATATTTCTTGGGATGTGATTTTTAATAAGGTACATTTCTCAGCACACGATTGTTAAAATTTTTGACAATGCTAAACATCCTCAGAGTGATCTTTACTTCAAGCCTGGGAAACCTCCCTACACATTCGGCAGTTTGCTGTGTGTTTTCCTTACAATGTTAGTTGCCTCTCGCTTAGCATTAAAAAGATTACTGTCATTTACAGCATGTTTTCCTCAGTGCTTCTTGCTTGACTTTAGTGGGATATCAGGATTCTGCCTGTGGAATTATATACCATGCAGGTGAAAAGTAGATCTCTATGTGTGAACAGAGTTAAATGCTAAATATGTGCTCCCACGTTGTTGGATTCAACCTCACAACACATTTTTCCATCAAGACCATTATCCACAATTTCCACAGTTAGGTTCCAAGACACATAGCCCAGATGTCCTTGGAGATTACCATTGTTCCAATGGTGAACAACCTAGTAAATCTTAGCCAGGTATGTAATGAGAGAAGTGGCATGAGCAGTCAGAAGCAAGGGGCTTCTCTTCACATTTTTGTATCATTCTCTCCTCCTACTCTTTCTAATAAACTCTTTAGAGTGGTCTCCAGGATCCTGGCAGGAACCTCACCAAATAGCGCAGGGCAGGGATTGGGGAAGTAACAGTAAGAAAACAGGGGCTTGGTAGGAGTTGGAGGGGGACCCACCATGGAGTTAACTGAGCTCACTGGCTGTCTGTCTCTTGCTCTCTCAGCATGAACTTAGCATAGAACCCTCCTGATTTTCATAAGATTATCACTGCCCACAAAGCAGGAATAATAGTGAGGACAATAGTAATAAAGCCTAATTATACCAACCTCCAAGTCTACAGACTATAACCCTTTTGACCTAGACACTCGGGAATTACATAAGTTTCCTGATTTTTCTTGTCCATTTTAAGAATGACATCACCACAGATATATGAAATGTAAACCTTATTGCAGTCTTTGTGTCATCAATAATCCTTTTCTGTGGCGAGCCATCATCAGATTTCTCCAGGCATTTTATCCAAAGACATTGGACTCTACAGAGCGGGTTGGTGTGGGAAGGGAAAAAAAAGGCACCAAGGGTACTTCCATGATGCCACTGTAGCTTGGACTGAGAAGACGGATGAAGAACAGGGAAGACAGGGCAAAGGAAAACATCCTCTTCCCATAATCAAAGAACTAACAGGAGACAGGTGGCCATTTAGTATATAAAAGAATATTGAAAGTTTGTATAGAATGAAATATGTTTGCAGTGCTAAGTCGCTACAGAAAGCTTGCACTCCATTTTGCTAACATCTTCTTAGGGTTGTCCAGTAATTTATCCTTACCATGTGGGGCACCTACCATATTGTTTTAACTCACTCTAAACTCTGCTGTGTGTCACTCTAAACTATGCTGGTCCCCCATCAATAATGTAGGAAGTGGCCAGCGCCGCGGCTCAATAGGCTAATCCTCCGCCTTGTGGCGCCGGCACACCAGGTTCTAGTCCCAGTCAGGACGCCGGATTCTGTCCCGATTGCTGCTCTTCCTGTCCAGCTCTCTGCTGTGGCCCGGGAGTGCAGTGGAGTATGGCCCAAGTGCTTGGGCCCTGCACCCCATGGGAGACCAGGAGAAGCACCTGGCTCCTGCCTTCAGATCAGCGCAATGCACCGGCCGCAGCGGCCATTGGAGGGTGAACCAACGGTAAAGGAAGACCTTTCTCTCTGTCTTTCTCCCTCTCACTGTCCACTCTGCCTGTCAAAAAGAAAAAAAAATAATGTAGGAAGTATGTTGACTGCAATTAGAAATTTGCTTTTGCCATGAAGCAATGCCATTTCTGATAGTAATACTGCCAGCACTACCAGAATCTTAATCAATCCACACCTGCTGTAAGAAACGGAACTCCAAGCAACGTGTGTATGCCTGTGGGTGTGAATTCATGGGCAGATGTGGGGTGCAAAGCTGTTTCAAAAGGCTCAAGAAAGATCACTGGGGTATTGGTGTAGGTGCACAACAGAGATGGAAAACAAAGTCAGAAAGTGAGATCAGAATGTCACCTGGAATTTCTACTTATTTGCTTAGAGTAAATATTGAGTTTTACAAGGTGTGTACTACTGTGTTGGTTGGCGCCAAGGGATGGGAAAACAAAAACCAAAATTGGTCTGAATTATCCCAGCTTCTCAAGGAACAGTCAGAAGAATGGACTGCTGGGTTTGTAAACACATGCATGTCTATCTCAAAGCTTGAGTCAGAGTCTCTGTGAGGGAAGGTCTCCAAATCTGTATCACTAACAAACAATAGTGGTAAATGGTGGTGCACCACAACTTGAGAAACTCTGATCCAGGCCATCATAAGTAAAGTCAAACAGTAGAGACACTGTCCTCTGTTATTAGATGAATAGGCCTAGCTTGTTTATATTAAGTCTGACATTTAGTTGACTATTCCAAGCGTTATAACTAATACTTCTGTGCTTTTTTTCTTGAAATTCCATACATGGAATTTGGAAACACATGATATTTCTTTATTCTCTAAATTTTTAATTATAAATGATTGCAAATGTGTAGAAATCTGTGATAAGTATGTGTTAAATACTGCTGTCCCAACATAGAAACATGAACTTTTACATGGGTTTTCCTCACTGTTAAGTTAAAAAACAAAATCCTTGAGTGCATTGCTAACCTAACCATGATCCAATGAAATTTAAAATGGAACAACTGAAAAAATGGAACAACTGTCAATGTAATGTGCACATGTGTGCAAATGTAATGTATGATACAGAGAACCATCTTATTAACAATTCTCTGATGATAGCCTTTCATCTTTTAAGTGTCACTAGTAAACCACCAACTTATTACACATATATGAAAATATAACTGATATGGTAAATTATGTATCTGTATGCTTATATAAACTCTGGTTAGTGGACAACGTGGGATTCAAATCCAGATCCATTTATCACAAACATTTTAAACTTTCCATTATAGCTCATTTTATTTTACAGAAATATTTACTATTTGCAGCAACAGTAGTTGCCAGTTTGCTTTTCAACCAGTCCAAAAATCTTTGTCCAGACAAGGCCACCCCTTCTCTGATTTCTTGATGCTCATTCAACTGATATTCTGCCCACCTGTACCATCTTCTTGTCTATGATGTTCTAGGAATAATTTCACCACAAACTTTTTTGAGCCCTTATCACATGTCATACTGTATCTGTCCTTAAGGTGGTCTTTGGTCCATTCATTTCATGAATGCTCATTTTTGTGAAACCTTCATGGTTCATCGGAGGTGTTCATCAAAAATGTAGATTGACAATAACTACCAAAGCTGTTTGCAAACTGTGAATCCTGGCTCCCCACTAGGGATATGGATTTTGTGGTTTGCAACTAGCATTTATTTTTTAAAGAAAATAGAATAGAAAATGTCAGTATGAACTGTGGCTAGTAAACATTACTTTGGAAACCTTTGTTTAATTTATACACATGCATTTGCATTGGTGTTGCAATGTAAAAGACAATGTCTTGCTCTGTGTGTCTGCCAACAGTTTGAAAACCACTTCTCTGGACTAAAGGCTCCTGAGAGTACAGTAGACCTCTCCTTTTTCTGTCTCCAACTGAGCACATCACTGCTACTCGAGAGTGGGTTCTTCCCTCTAATTTTGAGAGAAAGTTCATTGCTCGTCGATTCTGAATACCGACTTTGAGAATTGCAAATAATGGCCTGACGTTCTTAATGTGATTGTCTACTCCTCCATTTATCAATGCATTATCTGACAGTAGGCTGTCTGGATAGCATAATTCAGCGACTTTTTGTAAAGGAAAAAAAATCTTTCATTAGTAATGCACCCATTTGTTCCTTTCCAGAACACTTTTCATCATGTGGACATGGTCTTACCACCTTGAATGTTAATTACCCACTTAGACAGTACTGGATATTCCTGTGGGGAAAATATATTTGATGAGTAAGACTGGAAAACAGTTCAGAAACACACCTTTTTGGTATGATTTATGCACAACCAGCTCTGGAAGGTCAGATAGGATAGGGGACTACAGGTCAAACCTCTGATTTGTTGCCATATCTCACAATTCCACCCAAGCACCATGAATCTAGACCTTGAGTTGGTTAAATTTTTTATGAAAGTGAACCTGTGAATTACATCAAATCATAATGTGATGACTCAGAATCAAGAACAAGATGTAAAATACAGAAACTGCCGATAACTTCCACAGGATTTCAGCATCAAGCTTATGTGTATGTCAAATGGAGAGTGGCTTTGAAATAAGAAAAACTCTGGATTAGTTGGTGTTACGGATAGGATGGGATAGGAGTTTTTAAAAAGGGAGGGAACCACAGTTGGAAGAGTAAGTAAGTGCTTGAAATTGGGCCATTACCGTTACCCAGTGTTAAGGCAGAGTGTCAAAGATTAGATAAAATGTGAAAAAGCCATCTATCCTGGTTGATAAGACAACTCCTAGGTGCTAGATAGATTTAAAAACCAACTTTTTCTTTACCTGTTCATAGTCACAAATTGTTTTGGCCCAGAATTGAGTCTTGCAGTGTAGATGAAAAATTGAAAACTTTGCCAAATGTTGTTCAGTTGGAAGCAATCACCTTCTATAAAGAGGCTGGGTTTGATTGGCACAGTTGTTACTCAATGTTTTCTTTCAATTTACCACTCATTTCTTTGTAAAAAATTTCTGCAAGATTCAATCTAAAAGTATCTATGAATTATGAATTGTTGGATTTGCATCTGTGATTGGAGAGTGAGAGCTGCTTTTGCATGGACTGAGTCCTCACCAAGATTAAGACCACCAGTGTTGCAATTAGGATGATCAAAGCAATGACAGAGATGCTTGTGCAAAGAGAATGGCTTAGTCCCAAATTTTGCAAGATTACATACTTTAAGAGATCTAGGGCCGGCGCCGAGGCTCACTAGGGTAATCCTCCGCCTTGCCGCGTTGGCACACCAGGTTCTAGTCCCAGTCGGGGCGCCGGATTCTGTCCCGGTTGCTCCTTTTCCAGGCCAGCTCTCTGCTGTGGCCTGGGAGTGCAGTGGAGGATGGCCCAAGTATCTGGGCCCTGCACCCCATGGGAGACCAGGATAAGCACCTGACTCCTGCCTTCGGATCAGCGCGGTGCGCCAGCCGCAGCGGCCATTGGTGGGTGAACCAACGGCAAAGGAAGACCTTTCTCTCTGTCCCTCTCTCTCACTGTCCACTCTGCCTGTCGAAAAAAAAAAGAGAGAGAGAGATCTAGTAAGTGCGGAATTTTAAGGTTGTAAATAGAAAACTATTTCCAAAAAGCTTTATAGACATCCAGGCTGATGCAGCAGTTGCCACCCACTCTCAAGCATGGATCAAAGCACATGAAGAGACCAGAGGAGAAGAGTAGAGGAACGTTTCCAACATCCCCGGACACTCTCCCTCTGTGTTACCACAGTGTGTTTTTTTTTTGTTTGTTTGTTTGTTTTTGTTTTTTTTTGGATAGGTAGAGTTAGACAGAAAGAAAGAGAGACAGAGAGAAAGGTCTTCCTTCCATTGGTTCACCCCCAAAATGGCCGCCACGGCCAGCATGCTGTGCCAATCTGAAACCAGGAGCCAGGTGCTTCCTCCTGGTCTCCCATGTGGGCACAGGGCACAAGCACTTGGGCCATCCTCCACTGCCCTCCTGGGCCACAGCAGAGAGCTGGACTGGAAGAGGGGCAACCGGGACAGAACTGGCGCCCCAACTGGGACTAGAACCCAGGGTGCCGGCACTGCAGGTGGAGGATTAACCAAGTGAGCCACAGCGCTGGCCCCTACCACAGTGTTTTAATGAAATCATTGAAATCTTTGTTTCACACATCATCCTCCAGAAGAGTCTCAGTAATACAAAAGAGACCTGGAAAAGAATAAAGATTTGTCTGTATCAGTTCAAAATTTTCCTCTACCAAGCCATTTCTCTTCACAACTTGATGACTTGTTGAATAAGTCACCTTCCACATGGTAACTAAGGGAGGAGCTCTTGTTATAATTTATTGGGTGTTTTTGCCTAGCCACCTGGTTTTACTGAATTCCAAACATTGGTATGGAGAACATCTGGTCATCTCAATCTCTAAGATATTATAAAACAGGCAAAACATACATAGATACATACAAGTGTACATATGTTTGTATGTGCGTATATATGCACACACACAAGAGTACTTTAAAATTTTGTGGGAAAATGGAATTAAAGTATGAGTTTATTCTGAGGCAAAAACAATCTTGAAAAACTATGCAGAATTTTTTAATAAAACACAGTTTCCACATGTTATGAAAAAAATGCTTTGCTGAAAATATTTTTATATCAAAATAAATCATACATTTAATTCTACTTTTAAAACTACTAAATAGCCTCTTATATACTAACACATAATGATAAACTGACAAGCTAGTTCTATCACTAAAATTCATTTTGCTTTAAGGAAAAGATCCTTTCTTCATCAAATTCCTACTGACAATTCCCACCCCTGGAGTGGAGGGATTGTCAACATTTGAAGTCCATCTCACTATTCCCCTAAAGTAGTTCCCTCTGGTTCCTTGCTAAGGAGGAGCATGTGACTCCCTTGCTGCGTCAGCACGTGAACCCTAATTTCAGTTACATAGAGAATTCTCACCAAAACCTGATCCCACAGTTACAACACCAGGTGAACAGCCTCTGACCTTCCAGGTGTCCTCCTGGATCCCCATTGGTCTTTGATGAGCTCATGTGTGTAACACAACTGTACATATTTGGACAATTGACTTATTAAAAACATTAAAAGTTTTTGGTTCTTTGACATCCAAAGCAAAAGCAAAGCAATCGAGTGACTCCTGACCCTGGCTTATCAGATGGCGAGGGCCATGCTGTCAAGGCCCCATCACTGACCATGTGAGGAAGGCCACATTTTATAGGTGTTTACAACAGTTTAAGGTTCATGCTGCCGATCTGTGTCAACACCAGGCTGTGCAGGGCAACTGGCCCGGTTAGTGGGGTTGGGCACACAAAGAAGAGCAAAGGAGATACATCTTTATCTAGCTAAAGATCACATCATCCTTTTGTTTTTACAGTATTTTATATCAAAAAGAACAAACAGAGCAGAGGAAGCAGCCTGCCTTTCTGCATTTATATACACAGTGCCAGCAGTCTGACAGCAATCGCTTTCAATATTAAAAGGACTATGAGGGTGTCAGCCAGGCAGCCTGATCTCCCTGGGTGCCTGGAGAAGTTGCTCTCAACTTTTTTCCACATCACAAATAGCTGTTTTTTCACTGTAGTGTTTTACGAAGGGAGACAATCGCTTTGTTCTTGGTGTTGGAGTTGCTTTGTGGAGAGTGCGCGTGTCAATGAAGTAGTTCACAGGGTGTGTGTATACATGCATACGCACCATGTGCACCCTCGTTTTATCTAAATTGCAGGCAATAGTAATGCAATATCCCCATATAATTGCTTTCTGTCTGGAGTCAGTGAGTCTGCGTTTAACTTAGAGTGAGGGAAAATTAGTCTTGTCACTTCAGAAGTCACCATTCTGAAGTACAGGTGAATATTCTACTTGGTGAAGGAGGAGGTTGGAGTGCCTGAAATGTCCTCTGTGCCATCCCATATGCTTGTATCTGGTACCTCATCAGTGTGACTGTCTCCTGCTCAAATACCTGGAGAACATCTGATTTGTGGGAAGCTAACTTTCTTGATCATTCAACTTTATTATTTTCCCTAGTCTTAGGTTCTAAAGTGATAACGCATATCTGTGGCTAACAAGATCTTTTGAATAATGGCATAACTCAAATAATGTTTTTAACCTGATGTATCACTAAATTCCACATTTTAATACAAATCTAAAATCCCTAATTTTAATTTCAATTTGTGTTCATTTTGTCTCCCTACGAGGGTGAACTCAAAAGTAAATGATCTGGCATTGAAGCTCGATTTTATGTACATAAACAAGGGAACTTCTGAATGCTTTTATAGAACAGGATCACAAGATAAGCTTATTTTACTTCAATTTTTTTGAAATTCCTGCAGTTTTTTCATAATACAAACTTCCCATGAACTTTTTGAGGATCTCTTCTATGCCTGGATTTCAAAATTGTTTGCACCAAAATAAACAATGTTTTTGTTCTGCTTTCCATTGACTTTTTGAAGCACCCTCAGGCAGCACAGGTGCACCATACCCACCTTGGTGTCTTATTTGCTAGAGTTCATCAAAGCTCTCTGAGGAGCCTTCCCTGATGTATTATGCCTACATCCCACCAGGTCCCATGGGAAGAGAAACAAAAGTAGCCTTGCCAAACGTCAAAGCCAGGGTCATCTCCAATTGAACTCTGCTCCTCCAGAGCCAATGCTCTTCCCGGAAGGGTCTCCTCCTCTTCCCCTGCTCCTTCCTGAGACAGCAGCAGACAGAGGGCGTCTGCTTCACAGGGTGAATCCATACATCTGTGAAGACTGGCTGCTCTGGCCTGAGGCTGGACAGCAGGGTGTCCTTCCGGACCCGTGGGTATGTCAGGTCTCTGGTCTTGAAGAGTCCATGTGCCACTGAATCTTCGTTCCAGCTCTAGACTTCTGCTAGCGCTACACTGAACTCAATACACCCATGCCTCCTGGAGTACTGGGGGAGCAATGGAGACTCAACAGATCTTGTGAACTGACGAGCTCCCCTCCCAGGCCCAATGCTCAGTGAGTTACCCAGAATTTGAAGTAATTTAGAAAAGTATTTTCCAACAAAACTTAACTTCGGAGACTCACCCAAATCCTGTATCTGATGTGAAATACTGAATACTGTGTCGTTCTTTGTTTTTATAATCACATTAGAGTAATTGTAATCCTCCTTGAAGCAACTGAATACTTTGGACAAAATGGGAGAGGAGGGTAAGTGGGAATAAGAGAAAGGATGTGAATGTAATTGTAGAGCATCCTCTCCATTTAAATATGCATGCCATATGTGCACGCACCATGCACACATACTCATGCAATGTGGATATTTTATATACACACATAGGTGTGGCAAAAAATTAAACAATCCTTTCGAACCCATAGGGACAAATGATGCCTGTCAACCCCCTCTTAGATAATAGAGAATATCAGGAACCTCTTCCCAAACCCAAATACACTTTTACTCTAAGATGTTCCTACAGCCTTTGTGAGTATGGCAGGGAACCCACTTCTACTCACTTGGGTCCCTTGCCAGAGTGCAGACTCAGAATGTGAAAGGAGGGCTGGAGAGAATCCCAGTCCTCCCATGTGGGGTGCCTTTGCCAAGTGTGCAAACTACACAGCTATGTGTGTTACATCTTATGGGAGATGCTTCTGCACCATGCAGCAAACACACCTCTTCAAGAACAGGCCTCTTGCTCCCTATGATTGTCTTCCTGGAGTTCTCAACTTAGTCCTTGAGATGCATCTCCGTTTTGTCACCTTTGTGTGGTTGTCCATCACTCTGTAGACTACTCAGAAACAGAGAGTCTCCTTTGCTCCACATCACTCAAGACCCAAAGCAATGTTGCTCACTAAATTTATTGATCCTCTCTCATGAACACCTCCCCCTCCTTGATGATGCAACTACACCTGACCCTTCACTCTCCTGCCCCCATCCCCATCCAAGGACCCAAGCCTAGAGTCCCGCTCCTGAATGCCACTCCCTTGAAAATCTGTTCTTGTCCCACAGAGGCTCCCTCCAGCCCCTGGGCTCCAGTCTGGCACTCCTCCAACAACCTGAAAGGCCTGTGTTTTCTCCAACCATCAGTTCAGCCCGAGATAGGGCCTATCTCTTGATCAACTCAGGAAGTACGTGGCCCTTGTTCATCTGTTGGGGTTCACCACAAGCATCACATGCCCGGAGAAGACTTCCATCCCCATAGCACTTGATCCTCTGTCGCCTGTGAGGATCACATATTATACACATGGACGCCCTTCTCTTCCTCTGAAACACTTCAACCATGTCAGGTTCTTAAATTCTTTCTGACAGATCCTGAGAGTGACTTTAGGATATTACATTCCCGGACATCACTGCATTAACAGGGGGAAATAAATATACAGTGAACTCCTCCAGTGCTTCAGAAACCTAGGAATATGGACTCCATAGAGAAATTTTCTTCAAGTAATGCACAATCTGAAAAGTTCAGAGAAGCAAAGGAAAATAACATATCTTAGGAAAGCACAGTTTTAGAGTGTTATTCTACCCAGATGGACACCAATAGAAATTTCTAAACACAAGACTAGTTGAGTTTAATGTGGTGTCATGAAATAGTAGTGTAACGGTGACTATTGGCTGGTTTATCCAATGCTGTTCAGAGTGCAGTGCTGTCTTAGTGCTGTGCCTCACTTTCTCTGGGCAAGCCACAGGGCTTTTTTCTATAAGGCAGTTCTCAGCACCTCCCATATATTGGTCTCTATTTCATATTTCCTGGGTTGTAAGCAGAGTTGCAGCAGTGTCATCTCAAGCAGGCCGGCAAGAGGTCACTGTGCACCTCTCTTCTCAACTCAGCGTCCAGTGGCATCACGGTGGTGACTCAAAATTGGCAGTGTTAGGGATATTGTGGAAATCAGCCAACACCCTTTTTCAGGTCTTCATTTCCAAAGAACCAGTTAAACATTTACGAGCGTAGTACCGGAGGTAAGGGAATTCATAACCAAGTCAAGAATCCTGTTTCTAAATGAGTTAATTTAGGGTCACCAGGCCTTGCTCAAGTTCCTTGTTTTCCACTGAAGAATTCACATACGGCCATTTACTGAGTGTGCTATTTTCAAATCTGTGCATTTCTTGAACGCAGCTCTTAAATTAGAGCAAGATGACATAGAAAAGAAAGATCAAACAGACCCTCCAACGTAGAAGTTCCTCATTAAACGTAGGTTTGTTTATCTTCTATGACTTCATTGACACCAACGGTAGAATCTCCATGCATCTTTTTTTCTCATTTGGTTAAAAAAAAAAAAAAAAAAACAGACATGAGTGGCTGATCCACAGTCAGATGATGGTCAGAAACTACAAAGGAGAGGGCGTGGCTGAGATAGCTGCCATTGAGGCCCACGGGACACCCAGCATCAGTCTCTATGGGCCTGTCCTCCACTCTGGTCTGCTGTGCCGACTTTCGCTCCCAGAACAGCTTTGATTCCTTCCCCTTCAACTTCTTCCTTTCAATCTTTTAAAAGATCAAATTATCACATAATAAAAGCTTTTAGAAATTAAATTATATTAAAAGAGAGAAATTAAGAGTAGAAGTCAGAACACTGGTTGAGATAAATAACAAATACTAGAAATAATCATAGTTGCCTGCATTTCAGTTTTGAAAATAAGCAAGAGTAAATGTAACAACCAAGGCCAAAATGTTTCTTTGCTCTCCTATTTAGCTTCGGAGTAAAACAATTCTAAACTTAAACTTGTACCAAATCACATAACTTCTCCATCTGGAACCTAATTTTAGTAACATGTCCCTTGGGACATGTCCCTCTCTGTTTTTGCTTGATGTGAATTTCTAAGAATTTACAAATTCACATTTGTAGCACAATCTTTTGGCTTGCTTAATGCAGGGTATTTCCATGAAAGAGCAAAAGTCATCAATATCTTTAACTACTCACACCCACACTCCTAACATACAAGCAGTTTATCTCCTAAGGCAGTCATACAAAATGTGGCATGACCTCAGGATGGAGGGGAAGGCCTATTTTGAAGACTTGGAATCAATAGAGTCTGAGGTAACACTCACATGATATTTACGGTGTTCCAGACATTATGCAAGTGTTCATTTAATCTTCTGAAGATGCTAAGAGGTAGTATTATCTCTTCCCCTTAGCATTATCTCTACTTGACAATTGAGAAAACTAAGGCAAAGAAGTTAGATAACTTTCCTGGTAGCACACATGGGTAAATGACGGAGCAGGATTCAAACCCCAGATTCAGGCTCTAAAACTTACACCAGCTGATCAGACTCACATAGGAGGCTAAAAGAAGTCCTTCATTTGCTTAACTGTCTCCTTAAACTGATTCAACTGGTGTTTTGTGGGGTCCAGCAACCAATCACATCAGGAGCACCTCAGCTGTTGTTAAGAATGTGTTAGGGACCAGCACTGTGGTGTAGCAGGTAAAGCTACTGCCTGGAGTGCCAGCATCCCATTTGGGTGCCAGTTCACATCCAGGCTACTCTACTTCTGATTCAGCTCTCTGCTAAAGCCTGGAAAAGCAGTATAAAATGGCCCAAGTGCTTGGGCCCCTGCAACTGTGTGGGAAACCTGGAAGAAGCTCCTAGCTCCTGGCTTTGGATCTGCCCAGCTCTGGCCTTTGCAACCATCTGGGGAGTGAACCAGCAGATGGAAGACCTCTTTCTCTTTGCTGCTGCCTCTCTGTAACTCTGCCTTTCAAATAAATAAATAATTAAATAAATCTTTAAAAAAAAAAAAAAGAATGTGGTCACAGTTCCCTACAAGCTTGCCTAGTGTCACTGACAAAGAGATCCAGAGCCCACATACTTCTACCCTTACCTGATCCTGAGGACAATGATTTCTTCAAGCGTGTTCTCCCTGTTTACCATATAACAATGTCTTAATCAACTGCTTTAGCAACGCTGCTGCCACCAAGGAACAAAATCAATAGCTGCCTCTCAGGGCTGTCTCTTCCATGGTGAAGATACAAGAAAAAGTAAGGTGGCCAAAAAGTCAGCAACATGAGTGGCAGAGGCCTTTGGACTAACAATGAACACATTGACAAAATGGCTTCTCCATAATAAAGAGTTGTTGTTTGTTTTCATGTTTTAATGTGAAACAATACGATTCAAATTTCTTACTGGCATTCCATGCAAGTCCACCCAAATAAGTAGGAACAGAACATCTGATGCTGCCAATTTGCTACTTCTTGGACATGGAAAAGAGATACCATTGCAAACAAGCATTCGGAATTCAAGGGGAGCTAAACATTGATGCCATTGTTAAAAATTTATCATAAAAAGACCATTATACTTGACACTGAGTATATCTCAATGCTCAGATATTATAATAAAAGTAATTAACATTTATAAGTTAATTTGTTCATTTAACAAATATTTATTAAGCTCAAATTATGAGTACAAACCCTTTATTACACATTAGGAAAATGCCAAAGAGAAATAGGTTTGCTAACAGCAATCTTAAGAGTATAGGTAGGAAGACATCACACTATATTCTAATTATATGAAGATTGGTGTCGCTCCCCCTCTTCGTGGAGGAACGACACTAAGCCCTGCCTAGGCTTTATATCCGAGTCACGGCACCATTATGTCGCTCCCCCTCTTCGTGGAGGAACGACACAGGACCCTGCGCTGTTCTTTCGTCTGCTCGGCCCTCCCTGGGTTTGCTGCTGGTTCTTCCCGGGTTGGCTACCGTCCCTTCCACCTCCGTGGAAGGGCGGCTCCCCCTGCCACTTTCCCCACTTCCGCGGGGGAGCGGCACACCGCCGGCCGGCTCTCTCGGGGGCTGCACAGGTGTTCCTTCAGATAGATGTTCCCCTTAGATGTTCCTGGTGCATGTTGTCTCTCTCTCCTCCTTTATAGTCCTCTTCCACCAATCCCAACTCTGCTACCCACATGCTGAGTACGCTGCTCTCCTCCAATCAGGAGCAGGTCCTGCTGTTTATTGGTTGAACTGGAGGCAGCTGTGTAGAAGCTGTTTCCTCCTCTCCTAGCGCCATATTGTGGGAGAGCAGATGCATAGAATAAGTCTTAATTCCAGTAACTTAGTCTAGTCCGAGTTGCTCCCAGTTGCTCCCCACAATTGGAAATTCTAAACTTACTGTTTTTGAAAGATATTTTAATTATCCCTAAACTACAACAAACACACCTTGTCGTGTAATTTTTAAACTTTTATTTGAAAAACAGAATGCCAGAGAGAAACAGAGACAGAAAGCAAAAGCAAGAGAGTGAACAAGAGACACAGAGAGAGGGAGAGAGAGATAGATCTTCCATCCATTGATTCACACCCCAAATGGCTTCAACAACCAGGGCTGGGCCAAATGGAATTCAGTAGCCCAGAACTGCATCTTGGCCTCCCAAATGGTGGCAGAGGCTTAAGTACTAGGGCCATCTTCTACTACTTTCCCAGGTGCACTAACAGAGAGCTGGAGAAGTAGCTGAGACTTCACACGACATTCATGTGGCAAACCAGTGTCACAGGGGGCAGCTTAACCCACTGTGCCACGATACCGGCAGCTACCATGTGATTTTTTGGTGATTTTTGTTTACATGCATCAGTGAGAACCAAAGAGAGAATAAAAAGAAATTCTATAATCCAGTTGTCTTGACTTTCAAAACCTTCTGCCTTTAAGATGACCTACTCAGCTGTAAAATAAAATAAAATAAATTTAAAAAAGAATCCTGTCTTTTGTGACAAAATGGACATACCTGGAAACTATTATACTTAGTGAAATAAGCCAGTCCCAAAAAGACAGCAATCATATGTTTTCCCTGATCCGAGGTAACTGGCAGAGTACTTGAAATGTAATGTATTAGTGTGAAATATACATTTAGAGATTCAATGATTATTTATAGCTCTTGTCCCTTCCATTGAGGAACAGTGCTTTTCTTTTTTATTCATATTATTTGTTGAAATCTTTTACTTTCCGCCGGCACCGCGGCTCAATAGGCTAATCCTCTGCCTGTGGCACCGGCACATCAGGTTCTAGTCCCGGTTGGGGAGTCGGATTCTGTCCCGGTTTCTCCTCTTCCAGTCCAGCTCTCTGCTGTGGCCTGGGAGTGCAGTGGAGGATGGCCCAGGTTCTTGGGCCCTGCACCCACATGGGAGAACAGGAGAAGCACCTGGCTCCTGGCTTCGAATCAGCGCAGTGCGCAGGCCGCAATGCGAGGGCCACAACGCGCCGGCCGCAGCAGCCATTAGGGGGTGAACCAAGAAGACCTTTCTCTCTGTCTCTCTCTCTCACTGCCCACTCTGCCTGTCAAAAATAAAAATAAAAAATAAAAAAATCTTTTACTTTGTGTAGGGTTAACTATATGATCATTAAGTAAACTAAAAATAGATCTTTATAAAAATTAAGAGTAGGAATGTGAGAGGGAGGAGGAAGAAAGTCTGGAGCGTGGGCAGGAGGGAGGGTGGGGGGAAATGTCACTGTGTCCTAAATCTATATATGTGAAATGCATGAAACTTGTATAACTCAAATAAAACTTAAAAAGAAGAAACGGTAAAGGACTTGAGCAGATCTTTTTTAAAAGATGAAAATCAAATGGCCAACATACAAATGAAAAAAATGCTCAGGATCACTAGCCATTAGGGAAATGCAAATCAAAACCACAATGAAGTTTCACCTTACCCCCATTAGAATGGCTTTCATACAAAAATCAGTAAATAATAAATAATAAATGCTTGCAAAGATGTGGAGAAAAAAAGGTACACTAATCCACTGTTGGTGGGAATGCAAACTAGCACAGCTATTGTGGAAAATAGTATGAAAATCACTCAGAAAGTTGAAAATAGATTTACCATAGGTTCCAGCTATCCCATTCCTGGAATTCACCCAAATGAAATTAAAGCATCATATGAGAGAGTTATCTGCACCCCTATGTTTATTGAGGCTTAATTCACGATGGCTAAGATATGGAATCAACCTAGAAGTCCATCAATCAATGACTGAACAAAGAAAATAGTGTATATATACACTATGGAATACTACTCAACTGTAAAAAAGAATGAAAGCCTTTCTTTTGCAACAAAATGGATACAACTGGAAACCATTATACTTAATGAAATAACCCAGTCCCAAAAAAGATATGTTTGCCCTGATCTGTGGTAACTAATAAAGTACAAAAAATGTATATGAGCGAAATTGATATTTTGAGAAGTGGTTATGGTTTACAGCCCTTGTCTCTACTGTTGAGGAGCAGTATTTTTTTATTCTTACTATTTGTTGAATTATTTATTTAGTGAAGTATTGTGAGTATAATCTTATGATAAAATAAACTGAAGGTATGTCATTGTAAAAACTAAAAGAATAAAAAAGGAAGTAGGAGGGAGAGAAGGGTTGGAAGGATCATTATACTCCCAAATCTGTGTATATGAAATTTATTCACCTTATATAAATAAAAAAATTTTAAATAAAGATGGCCATCCTTCCAGTAGTGAATGGAGGATGGTGAAAATTCTCTATACATCATCATTTGCCAGCAAGAATTTATCAGTGTTGACTAAAAATTCAGCTTCTAAAACATTTATAAACTCATATAACTTTTAATATATTGCTGTTTGAGATTGGGTTAATCACACAATGTCTTTAAAACATCACAAAAAATAGTGACCCTTACCTGGTTTCCATTTCTTGTTGAGGGCCTGTCTCAAGCCCTTGGGCCAGATCTGTGAGGCCTCATCTTATGTGAGATCATGTTAAATGTGTATGCGATGTACGGGTCCACATTCTGTGCTGGAAATACACAATCAATGTCACAGGAGTGTAAAAGATTGGCTCTGTAGGACCACAGAGGAGAGAAAGATGAGTTCCAGAAAGTTTTCATGGAGGGGGATCATTCACTTTGTGAAGAATGCATAAATTTTCCTATCAGGTAAAATGGGCAGAAAACTGTAATCCAGAGAGCTGTAAGTGCAAATGCATGGAAATACAAAACAAGAAGTGTCTGGGGAGCCACAGACAGGTCTCCGTGTCTTGGGACTACAGAGGGCACACCCTTTGAGGTCCTATTGAGGTTCTACTGAAGTGGCCACTTCGGAAGCTGTGAGGGAAGGTAGAAACAAGGCTGGCCAGTGTCTTAGGCATCAGAGCAAGGACTGTGGCCTTGCTCTTGCAGGTAACCTTGACTAAAGGGTCAAACAAGACAAGAGCATCATATTTACATTTTTAAAGAAGCCTCTTTAGTGAGCAACATGGTAGTAGGTAGCCCAGTTAGGAAGCAACTGGAATCAAACAGGTAGGAGACAATTGGAGAGTAAACTGAGGAAGTGTATGGGGGAAAAGGAAAGAAAACAAATACTGTTTAACTGAAGTAGACTTTCACACTTCCTTTATGAAGCATCACTGAAAACATTTAAATGGAAGTGGCCTCTATAGAAAATTTGGAATACTTCCTGATTTAATTTATATCTCACATTTCTCCTTTATGCAGTAAATACAGTTAAAATTATTTGGAATGTTCGAGAAATAAAATACAATTTCAAAATAAGCTTATTCACCTACTAGATTAAAAAATATATACTCAGGATATAAATTTGCAGATTATAAAATCAAACAAACAAGAACAGACCAAATGACTGGAACCATAAAATGGACTTGGCCAAGTCAAATAAAACAGTCTCAGACCAGACCCTGCAGCTGAATCAAAAGCAACTCTATAAAACCCAGGAGGTTAAGTGGATTCAAAGAGGAATGTTGCTATTAAAAATTCCCAATTCCCCTGTGTCCAAATATGGGAATTTTATTTGATTTCTTAGATAGAGCTTAGATGTAAGAAAACATTATTACTTTTAAAAAGCCCTTTTTCAGTAATTCAGGCCTCCCAAATTAATACCTATGTATTCCACCACGTGAGGTCATTTCAAGATTTTGTAAAAGTCAAAGATCTTCTTATCACATCTTGCCACTGACACAATTTACCTGTCATTTCTTCTCTCCTGCCATCCTCTTCTATTCTTTGCCTCCAAAACCCCAGTTTTCTTCAAATACTGGATACTTGTGTCCTTCCAGGGAGGCTGGGTCCCCTAGTTGTGGGAAGGAATCCATCATAGAAATTCTACACCCTTGACAGGGTTTGATTTGGGACCAGCCAATGATGCAGCTCTGGCCAAAGGACATGAAGACAAGCAGAGGCCCTCTGAACAAATTCTCTTCCCTTTTCCTGCTTTTGATGCAGCCAAGTGAAGCATGGGGTTCAGCACAGGGCACAGAGTAAGAAGAGCAGAGAAATGGGAAGATTGGGTTTCTGATGATGCCATTGAACTACAGGAAAAACCAAACCAGAGCTACTCCTACCCACAGACTGCTTTTCACATTAGAGAACAGACACCCTATTCCTTTCATCCCATGGAATTAACATTTCTAATGACTACCAAATATGTCTTGATCAGCATCCCATATACAGTTAGACACATTTCTGTCAAAAATGTTTTTCTGAACATTTGTTTTTCCTTCCTGAGTTGACTATGTCTTCCTATGGACATAAGAACAGAGTTGGACTCGTAGCATCCATGAAAGAATGGTTTTTTCCCGGAACTTTTCATGTTTTATTTCTAGGAAGACTGTATTCTAAGTAATAGATTGTTTAATATTAGCCCAAACAGGAGAGCATGCCAGATGGGACCGCGCCTCTAAGACAGGAGAAGAAAGGAAGAAATTATCCCATTGCATATGCTGAATTTCTCCAGCAGTAAATAAGGCAAGCTATCCAGGATCCACTTCCACTTTTATGCATATTCTAGCCAATGTCTGCAACATATTATGTGTAAGTCCTAGTGCTGCTGTCGGGGTAATGGGCCCCATTACGCAAATCCCCCAGTTGAGATCAGAAAGGAATAATGAAGATATCATTAAGCCATAGAATAGTACATTTCAGGTCCCAAACTTCTCCCTTTGGGTTATGGAGCCTAAAACAGTGAAAAGTCAGCAGCCATTCAGGTGCTATTATAAACATCATTACTACTTTTTTAAAATTTAACACCACTGCTGTTACTCTGAAGTGGAATTGACTTCCCCTTCTCTTTTCAACCAACCCTAATGCATCCTTAGCAAGCAAAGTTTCAGAATAAAGGTAGTGTGAGTTGAGTGTTCTCTGATTGTAAAAACATCTGATTCTCATGTCAGATGCAGCTATCTATGCCACATAAGTAGAACAAGGAAAGCAGAGCCCATGGAAGCACAGGCATGAAGACAAATGTGACTCTACCTACATGTTCCCAGTGGGGAGCATTCCCATCTGCAGGGACACCAAGGCGGTAAAGCTCAGGGTGAAGGCTTCATTTAAAGTAAGGGATTACAGATGGCATGATGAAGAAATATTCCTTCAAAGTAGGGATGATATTGTGGAGTGAAGACAAAAGGGAGTAGGTTGGAAATAATTCACCTTCATTAATGTCAGAGCTAGGCTTTTTTGATAATGAGCAACAGAATCCAAATATTAGGAAGGCAATTGGGCTCCACAAACAAGAACGTCTTTCCATTCCTCTCCTTTGCAACTGTCGTCATACCTGCCTGTTCTTTTGTATTTGCTCTTAAAATCAGTTTTCTCTTCCTCTCTTTTGCAAATGGTGAAAAATATTACCATAAATAGTCTAGCAGCACAACCATCCAGCCCGAATTTCTGAATTTCTAGAAGTTGGTTCAGTCCGATTCAAGTGTCCACCATTGTACCAGTTTTCACCATGAAAAGTGGTTGCAATTATGCCCTCTGGGGTCAGGTGTCCTCTTGTAAACCAATCAACCACAGGCAAGGAGCAAGTTCACCTGGAGGAACCACATGGCGAGACTGAAGGCGATATAGGCAAGAGTTGGAGAGAAGGAAGTTTATACCATCAGTTATGCTTATCTTTAGAGCTGGGTGCATAATTTTCAATGCCAATAGCAAGTGAAAATGTGGGGCCCTTCGTTCAAATATTAAGAATTTTGTAGCCGGCGCCGCAGCTCACTAGGCTAATCATGCACCTTGCGGCACCGGCACACGGGGTTCTAGTCCCGGTCGGGGCGCCGGATTCTGTCCCGGTTGCCCCCCTTCCAGGCCAGCTCTCTGCTATGGCCCAGGAGTGCAGTGGAGGATGGCCCAAGTGCGTGGGCCCTGCACCCCATGGGAGACCAGGAGAAGCACCTGGCTCCTGCCTTCAGATCAGCACAGTGTGCCGGCTGCAGAGTGCTGGCCGCGGCGGCCATTGGAGGGTGAACCAACAGCAAAAGCAAGACCTTTCTCTCTGTCTCTCTCTCTCACTGTCCACTCTGCCTGTAAAAGAAAAAAAAAAGAATTTTGGAACAATTCCAAGATGGCAGAACGGGGAATGACATACTGCACTAGGCTAGGGATAAGCAGTGAAAAAAAAGTAAGAAGTACACTCCCAGGGGAGAATTAGAGAGAAAAACTCACTGGAAATCCTACAAGAGGAAGAGAAACATCATGGACCTGTGTGGAGGGTGTGGACAAGCAGCACAAACGCTAACACAGCACGCAACTGCAGCACATGAGAGTCGGAGCTGATGGCAGTTTGGAGACAAGGTGAGACTGGACTGCAGCAGCCTGTGGTGATATGAGACTGTGGCATGAATCCAGACTGGAATCCAGATGCTAACCCTAAGGGCTAGCAATTGCTACAGGCTGCTTGTGGACCCAGTGGAAGTAGAGAGGGCATGTTTATCTCACCCCAGCTTCCCCACAACAGTGCCCACTGCCTGACAAAGAAAGGGCAGGTGCTAAATTGGGTTTGAATGTGAGCTGTGAAAGACTGTGCATGTGCACAGCAACTAGCTGAGACAAGACAGCACCTTCTCAGCAGTACTGGTGGCAGTGGATGGAAGAGAGCAACATTCTGCTAGCGGCTCTTGTGTATGCATGTAATCCAGTGATTCTAGTGGAGAGAACAATCCACAGTCCCTACCAACTTTGAGCCTGGCTGGGAGGTGGCTGGGCAAACATATAGGGTCTTGAGGTGCCCACAGCCTCCCAGGAGGATCAAGACAGCTAAGCAGAGCTGTCCCAGGGAACATCTACCTGTCTGTTGACTGGATAAGTTGGCAAGGTTGAGAGAACCCTCTGTACCCAGTCACTGTGGAGCAATTGTGTGCTGAGACCACGGGGACTCGGTGGTTACATGAGAAGGTCCAGGATGAGGCTGTGTCTCTGGGCAATCACTGGGTGCAGCTCCACATGCTCAGATCTCCTTAGCTGCCTACAGCAGGTCATGGCATCAGGAACTGTGATCATAGTGAGGACTGTGCAAGTCATTTGTGCAGTTCTTATGGTGGTGCAGAACACACTAGGGGATAACACCTTGGCACTGAGATCTGCCACACCCAACTTAGGTGTTACCCTGGATACTCGCCCCACACTGGAGCACTGACCACACACCTCTTGCTATTCACTGAAAGGCAGACATTCCACTAAGCCATCAGAGGAAGAAAAAACAAAAATCAAATCCACAAATGTCTAAAAACAAATGCAGAAATTCAAGAAACAAAAGTAATGAAGACACTATGACCCCCCCCCACCAAAGGAACACAACATCTCAATATTAGAATGTGAAGATGAAGAGATTGAGGAAATGCCAGAAATGTAATTCAAAAAATTAATCAGGATTACTCAGAAGCAACCAGAAGCAAATCTATGAACTAAAGAAAACCACAGATGACAGGAATGAAAATGTTCCCATGAAATTGAGAGTTCAAAGAGAAATCAAAATGAAATATTAGATATGAATAGTTCACTAAGTCAAATA